CATCGGAGGTGGCAGCAGTCGCTGTTGGTAGTCAGAGGTGGCAGTAGCTGCGCCGAGGGTGGTGGTTGGTGGTGCAATAGAGTTAGGGTTTGAAAGGAGAGGGGTGTAAAAGATGGTTGTGCAGACAAATTGGGTTTCAAGTGTTTGTGGGTTTAATGGTAGTTTTAGAAAGGGATAGAAAATTGTAATTAAAAAATACACACTTAGGGATGAATAGGAGATAATTTTGTTGTGTCAATAGAAGCTCCCACAAACCAGACTGGCTACTTGAAAACCCAAGAAAACTTTTATGCTTCTAGGGTTTTTTTTTTTTTTCTTTGGTCCTAATACCAAAGCAATAGAGATTTATGAATCAAAGAACTAAGCCATACGAAGGCATTGGGAACCCAATCACTTGAAAATATAAGAGTGGTGGCTATATAAAAAAAGGAAGAGCTCCAATGCTGAATCCAGAAGGCAGCAGTGAGGTTCATTCAGAGAGGTGTAATAAATTAGGTGGAAAGCTCCTTTGCACAAAATAACCAAGGACTATTAAGTATATTCTTGTGAGCCACAATTTCTATTGAACAGTCAACTAAGAATGGAAAAGGTTGGCAGGATTAATAGACAAATTCTAAAAGACCATTAGAAGGCCATCAATCCTGACAAGTTTTTAGATAAAAAGCATTTATTGATTTTTCTGGAATCACAGAATTAGATTTCCAAAAAAGATTCATGATGGCATAAGTTATAAAGGAATCCCAACAAAGACAAAGCATCAGCTGGAATTTGAAGAAACGACAATTCTCGTGACTTAATTTTAGCTGTAGATTCTTCATATAAACAGGTCAAGCACAGAACTCAAATTAGAAGAAAGACGGGGGAAAGGACAATGCCATATAGCATGCATAAGTCATTAGTTCAAGAAATTGAGGTGTACCTTTTCTGTGAAACTAATCTGTAATTGTCAACCAAGTCAGGGAAGTAAAAAGAAAAAGAGTTTAGAACCAAGTTCATTTCATTGTGCATCAGACAGGATATCTTCTCAAGAAGATGAGAATAAGAGGATTGTATGGCAACACTAATTAAAACATCCATGTATTATGAATCCGACAATTATGGTTATTACTGAAAGTACTCTGGCACGAACATCAAAGTTATAGAGCAAAACAGTATCTGCAAATAAGATGGAATCCACACTAACCAAGGATAAGAATTAATAAAACACTTTGAAAGGAGAGAAGATCCTATCAGTTCTAAGACAGCCGCAGATGAAGAATCGATTAAGCAACATAGACAACCTATATCCACAGAAAATAGAGCCTGCAGTGAATCTTCCGGCACAATCTTGATAGGCTTTGTTACGAAAAAAAACAGGATTGCAACAGACAAAACCTAGAAATGAAGCCCTCTCCAAGACATGACCTAAAGGAACTAGAGAGAGTAAACATTTGAGGGAGAATGCTCCATGATCTAAACCAGAATTCACCTTCAAATACCAAGAAGCATCCTCATATTTTAGGTAGACATTATAAATGCCTGAATCAAGTTTTCAGCTGCACGCTTCTGCTCAGATGTGCCAGATATTAGAGCCACACGATCACCCCGGGAAGATTTGGATTCAGAGATCTCTACAACTGCTCCAGATATCTGGAAGAGAAACAAGTGCAAGTGAGAATGTCATTTGATCAAAGTGAGAGTTCAAGGTTAGTTATGGGCCCAAGTAACCTCCCCAACAGATAGATAATCAGTCGCCAAGAAGCAATTATGTATCTCAGATTGAAATCTGATGGACGGTTAAAAAACAATAGTTGAAGCAGACTAAAGTATTGGGCATCGAACACGAAAAAGGCCGAGACATTTTATAGGGTTCAATCTATGACTCTATGCCCTAAATCAACCAAATTAGATGTCGAGCACATTAGTCCACCTCCCCTCTTTGATGCTAATGGCACCACTATTATATTGTATGATATTTGCCTCAATGATATAGTGATTTAATCCTCAAGTTTACGATCCCCATGAATGTCAGTCATGGACCGCCAAACAAAATGTGAGCTCCCTCCGTATGAAAGATAATCAACCAAAATTTAAGTGGATTAAGAAAAGAAGAAAGAAAGAACCAACCTTACGGATGTTAGCTATATTAGCCCCGCCTTTACCCATCACTTTACCCACTGCATGAGCAGGAACCACCATCTCAAAAGTTGATGGAGGCGGCAATCTGTTTACAATATATGGTATAAAGACATCAGGATCAAATTAGAAGGGAAATATAGTAAGAAACTCGTGGCCATAATAATACTAACCCTCCATACATCTTTGACGAGTATGAAGACAAAGATCCATAGCCATTGTCTCCCATCTATCAAAAGAGAAACAGCCACTCAAATAAGAACCACAAGAACAGGGGTGGAGTTAAAAAATTAATTAAGTGGACAAAACAGTGAAAAAATTAAATAATAAAATACTGAGATAAACACCAATGCAGGAAAAAGAGCAAACAATAAATCCCACAAAAAAATAACTTGAAATTTGAAAAACTAGACAATAGGCCACACATCGATGAAATAATTAACAATATGTTTCAGAGGTGAGACATTGACAAGTTAATTAACATGTTTCCCCTAAAATGCATCTAATCGTCAAGAATTACAATCAACAGGTTTCATAGGTGAGACAAACAATATCTTTCACCATCAACACAATCACCACTGCCGCCATTGTCACCACTATAGCACCACCACTATATAACCACCATATACCACCAACACTATCACAACATCGCCGCCATCACTGTCACTCTACTATTACCGCCGCAGCCACCCCTTTACCTCCGCCATCACTTCATCACTAGCACCACCATCAATACCATCACACAACCGCCACTGCCGCCATCACTCACTCCACTACCACCATCTTCACCAACTCTATCCTACCTCACACCACTTCCTTATAACCACAACCGTCATGCCAACACTACCACTGTCATTGCCGCAACTATCTTACTACACAAACACTGTCTCGCAACACCACCCGCCACCTACTGCTACCAAACCACCACCACCCACTTGCCAGCACCACCCGCCACCACCACCACCCGCCACCCACCGTTACTACTTTCTACCACCGTCTTCCGCCGCCACTTGCCCCCACTTGTCATTTCTCACTCTTTTTTATATTTTTAAATTTTTTTAAACATTTTGTCAATTACCAAACGCGTTTGTAGTTTATATTTTTCTAAAAATAAACAAAAACCAGTTTATAAAATTTTTATAAATATAAACTGAAAACGTAAACGTTACCAAACACACCATATACATTTCATCTTATTTAGTCTCTCTTTCATAAATGAGAACTAACTTTACCATCGGAGTGTCCCCGGCTAGCAACCCCGGTTGGATAGCATCAACCATATTTATTTTTGCATATTATAAGCCAAACTCATCTCTTCGTTGCATCTCTTAAACAATCCATGTGTGAGAGGATTTTTGGGGTCTCACACTTATATCTGGTTCATTAGAATGAGTTAGAATGTAATGATCATATTTTATCAGAATGTCCATTCGCACATTTGGTTCACTAAAAAAAAAAGTTATGAAAATTGCATTGTAGATGGAATAATTATTTATCATTGTAAGAGAATGTGCATACCATAAGGAAAGTAAGGAATGAGGTAATTCTATTTCCATATGCCATTTAATCTCTGTGCACATATTTGCACATACTTAATGAATTTGTTTACCTTTTGTTTTACTCATTTCACACACAAAATGTTTTAAATTTGCCCATAACATATAATATGCGCACACATCAACACAAAAATCCAACACATTATGTACACACACCATACAAAACATAAACTTGCACCACACCCCTAAACATAAACCATGTCCTACACATACGACATTTCTCAACACTCTCTGGCAGTACTCCGACCATATTCACTAAGGTATGCAATTTTTTTTTGAATCAATAATTTTTTTGTTATTGTTTTACTATTATTCTACAAAAACTAATGCCTTGTTTCGTTTTGAGTTTTTAAAAGATATATTTTTTTAATTTTAAAATATTATCCCTTTGTTTTTAGTAAACTTTTTAAATATTTTAATCAACCTTTTATTTTTTAGATCCACTTAATTTAGATACATTTAAAAAGTAAATTATTTGCAAAAAAAACTAGAAAAATAAATAAATACAACCAAACCCAAAAATACACATGTACTAAACTTTTGTATTTTATATGCTTTTTAAGTATATCTAAATTAAATAAATCTAAAAAATCTAAAACAATAATTAAAATATTATAAATATTCACTAAAAAAACATACAAATTTAACTCACCTTTTCGTTCCCTAATTTAGAATGATAATGGTAACAATGAAAGAGGTAGGTCTGATTTTTTATTTTTTTTAAATGTGTATTGAGAATTTTCATATAAAGTATGTGTATCAAGGAAATCTAGTTTTAAGGTTTTGATGTATGTGTTGATATTCATATTAGTTATTTTGTTTAGTGGTAAAATTATACACAAAAAAATTATTCATTAAATGTGTGAACTAAGAGTAAAGCATGTGTGAAAATAGAATTATCTAAGCAATGGCCAATCTTTCCAATTCACATTCATTCTAATAAGCTAAATATTACTTTAGTGATATGATGGTGCTAAGTAAAAGGACCATCACTCAACGGATAAAAATTACTTTACCAATGATAGGTTGATCATCCTTAAAAAGCTCAAAAGATTTAGATCTAAGAATATATTTTTCGTGTTGTTTTGGTTTCTTTCTTTGAAATTCTTTAGATACTACCAAAATTTTAATTTTTTTTTATTATCAACCCATAAAAATTAATTAAAATTGATCTTGTTTAAATATATATAGAGAGGGAGACACAAAAGATAAAAATAATAATAAAAATCCTAGAAAAAATTATAATTTGTTGCCAAATGTCCGAATCTTGTGGCTCCTCTCTGCTTTGGAGCATTGGATGGAACCAAGACACATAATGTTGTTCAAAATTGTGAAATTAAATAAATAACAAATTATATACCAAGAACATATGCTGATAATTACAACTAAATTTCAACAGAAATACACAAAAAACAATAAAGGGTAAAGAGACAAAAACCGAAGCCTGCACGGAAGCAGTTTCCTTAAAACAGATTTCGCCGCCTCACGGGTCGAGTATTTGAGGAAACCCGGCGTCTGTCTCCCAGGATACGACGGTCAAAACCAGCTATGGCAGAAGCACTATCTGTCTAGCTTAGCGAACAAAACAATGGCAGCACTCTCTCACAATAGGAACTAGCAAGCAAACTGACTTGTAAAATGGAAGCAAAAATTTATATTTAAAAACTTGACAGGAGGGTCTCAATTTATACATGTATAGGGGAGAGAGGAAGAGCCTCCAGCCTTTAAGGCTAGTCATTAAAACACCAAGCATCCATAGCCCCTTTCCACAAAAATGAAAAGTATGGATGCCCAAAGGATTCACACCCTTTAGCCAAGAAAAAAGATTTAAATACTCTTTAAAATCCTATTCATGAATCTAACATCATGAAGCAATTTCTTGGCAATTTTTTATTCAAAACCCAATGGTTTTTGGCTCAATAGGACCCAACACAAAGAATGGTTAGGACCCATTTTAATATTTAATTAAAGTCACTACATTTTAATATTAAATTAAAATCTCCAAAAATCATTTTTTTCCAACAATCCCCCACATGAATAAAAATTGACCGAATGACTCAACAAACGAACATTGTTCAACAATAAAGACTCTGAGAGAGAGTACAACGGACTAACCCCGACATCAGAGAAGGTAGCTTTTGGCTTTGAACCTCTCCCAGTGAAAACCTATCGAGTTTACTGGCAGATCAGTGAATAAGACATCTTAAACTGCTCTACCGTTTATGTAAACTGAGGCAATAGATCTCACACGGGAATTACTTCTACCACCATTATGTTCTCACTGGTGTGCCCTGTGTGGCCCTGGACACTAGCCTGGTTCAGCGAGTGGTTTTAAAGAATCTTGGCCTGCCCAATTCTTCTAGAAGCGGCCCCACTTCAAACTCACATAGGTGACTCTACTAAAGTATCCTGCAATACTTAGCTCAACAGCTTAACACATAAGAGTCATTAAAAGCTCAGCTTATCCTCTACACTTGCAGGTATCACTAATAGAAGGAATGGCTGGAGGTTTAACCTCCTCAGTGACATACCACCGTTACACGCAATTAGGTTGTCCCATTGAACCTAGATCTTGGGATCTCCAGTCAACTAGGTTGGGTTTCCATTCCGAT